CAGCTGACTCCCTTCCAGGGTGGAGCGACGGGCGTAGTTGCCCGAGGCTCCCGAGTCAATCAAGACTCTCCATGGCTTTGCAAAGCCCTTCACGTTCGCTTGAACGACCAGCAAGCCCGGCTTGCACACACTCTTCTCGTAAGAGAGCTCAGCTCTCTTCGGGGCTGAGCCCCGTTGTCCTCTACCTCTTCGAGGCACAACAGAACTCAGTTCTTCCCCAGTAGGCCGCCCCGCGCCTACTGGGAGTTGCCGTTTCCCGGCGATGACCCGGAGGGTTGGCTCGCCGGAGCCTCGCGCTTCTTGCGCAGAGGGCAATAGGCCCTCAAGTGCTTAGTGCTATTGCACACAAAGCATCGGCGGATGCCGGCGCGCTGCTCCGCAGCAAGAAGCTCCGCTTCTTCATCTTCAGCATAGCTGAGGTCCATCGGCTCTGGACCGCTCGAAGAGCTTGCGCTACCAGCGCTCCAACCAGGTCGCGCCGACCTGAAGTTGTGCTCGGCATTCAATGCCACATCCACCGCCTCTTCAAAAGAGTTAGGGTGTACACGGAGCACTTCCGCTCGAGCTGCGCTCACACGAAGTCCCTCCATGAACACGGTCACGCTGACCAGTTCCGGAAGAGGGTCCGCCGCCATTCCGGCGATAAGAGTTCTCAACTCTTGGACATAGTCCAATAAATCCTTCTTACCCTGGCGGGTAGCAAGGAACTTTGACCGGATACGGTACGCCTGATTAGGCGGCGCGAACACGCGCGAAAGCTGTTGCTTCAGCTGATTCCAAGTGGGAAATGCAGCGTCAACAGACGTGCCGCACGTTAGTGCCCATTCGCGAGCGCGACCTCCAAGCCTGGAGATAGCCAGCGCCACGCGCTGATGCTCAGACTGGAGCAGGGCCGATCCCATGGCCATCTCGACCTCACGGGTCCAGAGAAGGAGATTCTCTCCATCCTTCCCCTCGAAGGTTTTTACGCTCACCATGAGCGGTTTCAGTCTCATAGACCCTTCACGCGTCATCGACGCCGCCGCCGTTGCGGCGCTCATCTTCTCTTGGACATGCTCCAAGAGCGCGTTCTCGTAGCGGGAGAACGATTCCAGCCTGGCTGTGACCGCCTCTGGACCTTGCGATGCAAGATGAGCCACGCCCTCCGGGCCAAGCAAGGACATAAGCTTATTAAGCGCGTCCTGCTGCGCCGGGGGCAAATTCGCGAACACGGGGTGTTCCATCCTCGCAGAGGATATAGTCAACCGACTCAGGAGCGGGGATTGACTACAAGTGCTACCAAGTGCAGCGGGGCTGCCGTAGCTTTAGCGTCAGAGGAAGACGTTCGACTCAAAGAGTCACTAATACTAAGTTCCTTATCCAAAGGACACTTACAGCCCAAGACCAGGGCTCAAAGTTAACACCTTAACTTTTATGCTTCAAAACCAGAAGTGTTTTATTTACTATTATTGCGGCCAAGCCGCCTAGGGGTAAATGTATCTCTTTAACTATCTAGCATAGTTAAACCTAATCAAATGCATAACGTGTGGCTTTCAGCCAACGTACTGAGAGACCTTGTTAACTCTCCAACTTATGTACTGAGAGTTTGTTAACTCTCCGGGTACTTCGTACCCCTGTGTGCTCCACACCATGTAACCCCGTTACAGCCAATCCGCCCCTCAACTTATCCAGCGCATCATCAACAAGCGATTCGACTAGCCGGAATCGCAGTCGATCTGGCACGTAATCTCCGTCGACGCGCCACTGAATTGACCTTCCCTCACCATTCTTGTTGACTGGAAAGGTAGTAAGGAAAGACCCAACTTCGCGAACTCCAGGCATGATCATCCATAGAGTAGACACCACATCGCAGACGTCGTTATCTCTTAAAAGAGCGCGTAGTTTCATCCCGTTATTGTACTCTTTTAGTGCTAACGCCGCCTTCACTTTCATCGCAGAACGATTCAAATGAGGTCGCCCGGCCCTTCTGACCTTACCATTCAGCTTGATTGCTCTGCCATCTTCGCCTTGATCTGGGCAGTCTTGTTCGTGCGTGCCATCCTCGGGGCGTGGGGGGGGGGCTGCCACGTGTCTCCCTAACTGGTGGCTAGGAATCAAAAGAAGAAAATGAGAGTAATTTAAACCGTTAAAACTCTACCTGGACAATACCTGCCGGTATGCCTGGACAATATAAAACCTGGAAAAGAGGGGTGCCGATTTTATTTCTTCTCACCAGAATCCTAATCAAATTCCCGCGGGACAATCGAAAATGGAAGCGGGGCAGCAATATGCGCGTCAGCCGCTGAGCGCAGGACGAGACATGGAAGAGGAGATGCAGCGCGTGCTGCAATTCCTGGATACGTCAATGATCACGCCGCCGTCCGGCAGCGACCTCGTGACGCAGCAGACGCCATCCCAGCGATCAGAGCAGCCTACGCCAGAGCATTTGCGAGAACTGGCGGCATTGAACGAGGACGAAGGAACGGCAGCGTACAGTACGCTCGGTGAAGTGATTGATCTGTTGGGCTCACTAGACGCTAATGTCACGGACCCGAGTCTGCTACAGCAGCGACAACAGCAGCAACAGGACCCCTCGCTCTATAACGGCAATGCCGGCACTGGAATGCCACGATCGACACCACCTAGCGATTGTATATCCGCCCAAAGAGTGCAATTGCCTCGCTCGACCTCTGTAAGTAGCAGTCACAGCGGCGTGGACAGCATCTCACCTGTCGGTCTGCTCAGTGGTCCGTCCATGTCGCCCGCCACGATCAACTGGTTGCAGACACTCGTGCCGTCGACAAGTACCGAGAGCCTAACAGGCCTCATCTCGCCTGCTACGCTTTACGGTGCCGGTGGTGGCTCTGCCTCTGGAATCAGCGTAACGGGAGGGATTATCACTAGCGCTGGATCAAATATCCAAGCAGAAGGAGCAAACCCCACGAAAAGCGACGAACTTCCACGGTACTGTATTGGTTTTATTGCAACTACGCCAAACTGCATTTACTGATAAAGATTTTATTGTGTTTAGGACGCCGTCATGCGAGATCATCGACTGGAAGGCTTACAATGAGTCAACGGATAAAACCCAGAAAGGACCGTCCAAGTGGCGTGTTATCCCTCAGCACGGACCGCATGCCGACCCAGCACCATCGTCCAGCTCTAGTAACGGCGTAAATTCCAGACTCCCGCCTGGAGGTGCCGGTGCAGTGACTACTGGCACAGAGCTGAGCGCACAACAGCAAATGTACCTAGCTGCTCGGAAGATGACGGAGGAGAAGAACAAGCGGAAGGCACTCGTGTCACCCGAATATGTCCAGTACGCCAACCCCGTCTCAGCGGGCGTTCCAGCAGTCCCACGAGATCCCTCAACTAGCATTAAGACGGAGCGTGGGTCGGTCCAATACGCGACAAAAGTCCCGGAACCAACTGGACGTCGCCCATTTAAAAAGTCGCTGCACCACACAACAGCTCCTGGTGTCCAAGCAAACCAGCAGCAACATAGTGACTCTACATCTTCCTCATCGTCTAAATTAAACGGAAAAGATGAGGATGTACGCTGCAAATGCACGGGAAAATGCCGGAATGCTCGCTGTGCGTGTGTGAAGGCTGGACTGGTGTGTGGTGCTCAATGCAAGTGCGTGAGCTGTGCAAACCCATTCGTACCGATGGCCCGGGAAGGTATCGACATCCAGCTGATGGTGCGTGACGTCTGCTTGATGCAATATCTGTCCAAGATCAAGGACATGCAAGAGCTGCTGGACTCGACGGTAAGCTACGAGTGCTGCGAAGGAGGCGGCGGCGTTGTGCAAGTTAAACACACAGTGGAGAACGGCTTCGCCTGTCCTCATTGCCACGCGCACTTTACGTATTCGTGGTGCAACAACCGACTGTGCCCCGACGCCAAGAAGCCGCGTCGTCATTGCGCTAAGTGCCGTCGATGTGGTGACCATCGTAACCAGCACTGCGACTTGTGCAACCATTGCTACTTTGCCGGCGTGGCCAACAGCTTCCGCTGCAGTTGCCAGTCTGGTGGTAGTGGCGGTGGTGCCAAGACAAGAACGGTAGTGCCCAATCCAGTACGCCGAGATCCCGATCCTTCCAAGAATGAAGACATGGATACACCGAACGGCCAACCACGCTTCGGAGCTATTAACCCAGCAGTTGAGGGCTCTACACGCGACGAAAACGCTGATGCCAACAGCAGTGCAAAGACAGATGAAGAGGCCGACGACTCATGCAAAATGCAGTAAATAAAATGTTATCAAAGCTCTGTAATTGTTATAAAACGATTATAAAACAACCCACAGGACAACGGCAAGAGATGCCAGTCCAACTCGAGAGAAACTACATGTAGTCGACGCGATGTTTTCAAGGCTTGGCGTACACACTACCAACGGTTTGTCTGTATCTGGATCGGCAGCATTGTCTTTGAACGGTGAGCCCGGGAATGGTGCTCGGTAGTATACTAGTTTTTGATTCTGAGTCACAACAATTGTTTAGTGCAAGTCTTCATGAGATTGTCAATTGTATAAGGTAGAACGTACGACCCAAGTGGAGCTGATCTCGGCCTCGCGAGCGTTGACGTACTTGGGGTCCCCACAGCGCCACAGGTCGCTCGAGTACTGACAGGCCGTCATGAAGTTCTCACACACACTGCGGCATAGCAGCAAGCTTCGACCTTCGGTGTCACAACGAGGGAAGTTGAGCCAGCAAAAGTAGTTACGGAAGGCATTCTCGCAGTCCGGGTTGTCTGTGAAGCGCGGTGTGATAGCTTTCGTTCCACCCCACTCGTCTGTATCGTCATCTGCCATGGCGCTGCTTGTCTCGTAGATCTTGCGCTGACTGACGAGTTTGGTGAACATTTGCTCTACGAAGCGATCTTTGGACAGAGCGGAATGGTTGTACCAAAGACTCTGATAACGTGGAAGACATGCCGTGTACGGAATGACAGCCTTGCAAAATGGTAGCAGCAGATCGAAGTCAGTCGGCTCCATGCACTCACCCGTGTCTGCGCCGTCTAACATGCATGCGTCGATGGACGTAAAGAGAGGATATGCTGCACATAGCAGGAGGGCACACCACCTCATGAATGCACGACCTTTTATGATCTTGATCAGATTTTTTAGAGGTTTCACTGAGAGATTTTGCGTGATTTTTCAGGCCTTGAAAAGGTTTTTTACTTCGATGTAAGTAAGACTTAAAATACTTGTTTAAACAAAAACACTTAACCCATCTAGACGAAGATTTATTCTGTATCATACAGAATAAAAATACTACTAATTAAAGTATACCTCGACAACTAAAAACATTTTCTTCATACTAGCCCTTTCGCAATTGGTGCCTGACAATTTGCACAAAAATACTACGAGGTTAGACATAAACGTGTTGAATTTGAAGTTGAAACGCAATTCTATTGGCTGAGATGGGTATAAAATTGTTTATACTGGTGAAGTTGATGTCCCGTTGAATCTGATTGGCACTAGCAAGTTTGCGCTCAAGATTCGAGCGCCAATTTGGATGGCTGCGCCACGTGCCGCACACTGCGCGACGCTCACCAAATTTTCAGCCAGTTCCTAACTACGAGACAGAAGTAGAGAGGAACTGGCTGAAAAGTTTGGTGTGCTATCAAAATTGTAAGTGGACCACGATGTATAGCTTTCGATTCCGTATGCTTATTACTCTACGTCGTCTTCATCACCAGAGCTATCCGCACGTTTGCGCTTCCTGAAGCGTAGGCGCTTCTTTAGGTGGGGTGGAATGAGGGTGCCGTTACCCCACGTCGTGTGCCAGATTTGGCTGCACGTGAGGTTGTTCCCGGTTTCTTCACGACGGACACGATTCCAGAGCGGTACGTACCCGTCAAAAGCTTCACAGCAAGCTTTGCAGAAATAACTCGTCTCCAGACCTTTGGTTTTTAAAGGTGCCAGCACTGAACACACCTTGCAGAGATGCTGACGCCGCTTGCCGTGGTAAAGTTGCTCATTGTTTTCCAGCACGTGCTCGCGTGTAGGCATTGGTACGGTCGCTAAATCCTCGGCGTTCATGTTGGCTCGAAACGTGGCTGCCGTGACTCCAAGCAGCTTCATCTGAAGCCGACGCATGTACTCAGCATGAGTGGGTACAGGTTTGTTTCTTTTTGCCATCACTAACTTGTGGATTATAAACCCATTGACTATCGCCATGTCCACGAAGGCAAAAAAGAGCTGCTTGTAGTATTTTCTGAAGACGACACACTGCTGAAGGGAGTAGCTCTGGAGACGTAGCTGGTCATGCCAGTCTACTCCGCCCATTCCCGAGTGGTAGTCGACCACTAGCTGCGGACACGGTACTTGCGTCACCGCGCCTGTGCGCTTGTCCTTCCTCCCTACGTTAGTCACGGTAGTAGCACACCCGGTGGCAATCATGTTTACTGGCTTGCTGTCCATCCAGAAAACGGCTAGTAGCTTCGGATGTATCGTCGAGTGAGCAATTCGGTAAGTTCCGCGCGGCATCCAAGCTGGTCGTTTCTTTTGTGTAAAGCGGAGATTCTTGGGTGCTCCCAAGCGGTCGCTGCGATGTGTCCCTACAAAGTAGTAGCCCTTGTCCAACAGGGTCAGTGCCAATGCACACGAACTGTAGAAGTTGTCGGTAACAATGAGTCGCTTGCCAGGCTGCCCGTCCAATGCCTTAGCGATGTTGCGAATGACAGCCTTTTGCGCCACTCCCTTTGCTTTCTTTCCTTCTTTACATTCTACGACGAAACCACGTCACGAGCACCTCGCACACATCTCTCCGCTCATCGAAGCGTCGTGTGAAGTGGCGGAGCCCTTACCGATGCGTCGCAGCAGCTTTAAGGAAAGGAGTTGATGTTGCAATGTGGCATGCGCTGAGTGGGCGGTGATGTAGTAGTGA